ATAGCAGCCATCCCTGGTTTTTGGTCTGTGGCAGGGAGCTGGGAAGCACAAAGGATGCTGACTTCCCTCAGCACCCACATCTCCCTCATTTATGAGGATGAAATGGTTTTCTCGCCCCATAGATTCTGGATTTCTCAAGAAGAGGACTTATAAGTAATTGGCTTTGTGAAAGCAAAGTCTGCCTTTGATATGCAAAAGCCCAGTCTATTAGAACTCTTATCTGAGCCATTTGGAAGATAGGTTTTATCAAGACAAAAAGCCTTGGCCATCTGAGCACATCAATTTAACTTTGCTCGCCTGTAACTTTTAAAATCATTGAGTTTTGCTTTATAATCCCTGTCTCATGAAAGTATGCCTCTCAGAAGTGTGAGTACTCGTCAACCAAAAAGCCTATGTTTCTAGAATTTATGGAATGTATTTGCTAATCTAAGGAATGCTAATTGCCTACCTTTAGCTGTCTAATACACAGTTGGAGTTTTCACTGCTAAAAGGACAAGGATTTTCATTTTTGCTTTATATATTTTCTCCCTACCTGAACCCTCAGAATTTGGCAATTTTTAAGTAGGTGAGTCGTGACAGTACATTTCTTTGCATAGACAAATTTCCAATCGTGGTTTTAGTAACCAAGACTGTGACTGGGTTACCATGTCGAAAAGAGTCATGCCTGGACTCTGGACGTCACAAGAAAGACTTGAGGAATTAATGTTGACTTTGGAAGCTAACAAAAGCCCATCGCAGAAACAGCCTGATAAATGTGGCTGGGTCACCTGGTTCATGGCAGTGTTTCTAGCTAAGGAACCATGGGAGCTTTCCTGAAAGATGGCAAGGAAAGAACCTCAACACATGCTGGGGGACCTCAAGAGCTTGAGGAATTTACCCGAATCTCTAGGTATTGCAGGCAAAGCCTTTTGGCAGGTGTGGCGCTTGGCTTCTATGCCAAGGCTGACTAAAGCTCGATCTAAAGATTCCTTGTGTAAGTTCCAGCAAAACAGATTTAAAGAGTCTATGTATTGAATTGCTATTCTTGTTTTGTTCATGCAAATAATCAGGCCAAATTAAAACCGTACTTAATATAGTCTTTTTGATGACAATGAGGATGATTTTAGGGAGAAAAATTATATTTTAATGAAAATCACAATGCCCAGCTGTGGATATTGGACTCTAACGCAGCTTACTGTCTTCACAGTTTTCTTTTCACTTGGAAGCTGAACTTGTTCCTGAATTCTTCCAGCTGCCTTCAACTCTTCAAGCTAATGTTTCATTTTCCCCCCTCCCATTTGGACTGGTAATTATTGGAAACTAAACTTTTTTTTTAGGACTGCATCTGTTGGCACCTGATGACATCACCAGAGATGTTCAAATTATAGACAAGAATCATTTGTCAAATTGTCACTGCTTGATTTTATTCCAGCAAAAGCCTTGCCATTGGATATCCTCTGAACTGACAGTCTTGCAGACTCGGAGACTGGATTATAATTTGCTGGGCTCATAAACCTTTGTATTCTTCTTTCTGTTTTCATAGGGTGTATGTTTATGACCTTATTCACCTGGTTGCTTATTTACACAGTAGACATCACTTTAAAAGCCCATTTGTGTTGCCTCCTCCTGAAATGAGACTCTGTGATTTGGCTACATCGACTTGTCAGGACCAGACGGTTGAACTGTGAGGTATGGAGCAGTCTATCAGCTTATTTAAAACTGCTTTCTTTTTCTGCCCTAATGGTGCAGACAGAAAGGGCCCACAATTCTTTGGGGGTGGGACAGAATCTTAGAATATTCCCTTCAGCCTACTTTGAGTTAAGTATGATGGACAAAAGGCTTCAGATAGGTGTGGCATGACCTTTAGTTGCTATAGTTGTCCTCATTTTTTGACTATCCCTTTTAACCTCTTGTCAAATTTTTCACCTCTAGAATACAGCAAGGATGCCAACTTGTTCAGCAATGCCATCCTTTGGACATCACATATGCCACTTCCCAGGGACAGCTAACTGACCTGGACTTTGTAAAATCCTTCTCCCTCATAAAAACCTTCCCTCCATTCTTCGAGCCTTACCCCTTACCTTTGTTAAATAGCAAGACTCTCTGGCCCCAGAGATAGGTAAGATTATGCCTTTGTCTCAGGAGAACCAAGAAACTGTCTTGCCCATGGCTCACTGCTTGAGACCTGCACTCAGATGGTGCACTGGCCTGTCCTCTCCATGAATCATGTGGCTCATGGCCTCGAGGAGAGAGCCCCTCTTTCTGTCTCATCCACCCGGGAATGCCTGAGCAGGTGTGTTTGTGCAACCTTGTGGCCCCAACAGCTGCATAATCCATGACCTCCATGTGCAAGCCTAAAATGGACAGCAGCCAGGAACAAGCTAAGCTACAGGGATAACAACTTAGCAGCCACCTGGGTGTTCCAAAAGACAGCATAGTACTTTAAAATGGAGCGGGAACTCTGGGCCCTGGCTTTCGTTTTGGTCTTGCTGAGGACAGTTGTACTTTGTCTTGGTTTTGTAAAGGACATGAGCTTTGAGACACGCAGTGCGCCATTCTCCCAGATCGTGCAGCATCTGAGTAAAACCTCTTTCCTTGTATAGCAGCAACTGCCTCACGAGTTTGGCCTTTGTGGTGGCACACAGAGAAATTCCCATTTTTTGTTCAATAATACAATGACTAAGAGTGAAAATGGGATGGTTTCCTAAGGGATCACCAAAAGATGAGGAAATGAATTCTAGGCAGGCTGACGCAGGAGAATAATATCTTCTCCATTTGGCTGTCTAGACTAGAGGCACATTGAGGACAGGGACAGAATCTTGCTTATTTTTGTACCTTTTGAAAAATTGAGCCCTGGCTGCTGTGGCTCAGTGGATTGAGTGCCTACCTGCAAACCAAAGGGTCACTGGTTCGATTCCCAGTCAGGGCACATGCCTGGGTTGCGGGGCAGATCCCCAGTAGAGGGCGCACCAGAGGCAACCACACATTGATGTTTCTCTCTCTCTTTCTCTCTCCCTGCCCGTCTATCTAAAAATAAATAAAATCTTTAAAAAAATTGAGCACATTTTCTTCCACATAGGAAAGCTTCAAAGGAATTTATACTGTTTCTTGCACTATTTTATTAAATACTTTAAAAAAAATCTTTAGAATGAAGAATGTCTAACACTAAATAGTTTGTGATGAATGTTACAGAATCGCTCTTTATAGGAGCATTTAAAAATAGTTTACAATCTTGATTGAGACTATTTAAATGCAACCCTGCTGAAAATGTAGTGGGTGAAGAATTTTAGTTGAATAAACTTTCAAAATCACTAAAGTACTGATTTCTAAGAAATTCCTATAACAGAGAGGTCAGGCCCAATCGCCAAGAGAAGGCGGGGGGCAGGGAGAAAACCCCAAGGTGAAATTGAAGGTTAGAAGTGGCTTGTCCTCCCTGTGAAGGGGGGGTAGAGATGATGCCAGAGAAGGGAGCTTGTACAGAGCATGTGTGACTGGAGACTTTGTCCCCTTGCTGAACGTGGTGGCCAGAAGACAGACAAAGGCACACGTGGCCAACACTGGCCCTCATTGGCTCGAAAGCGGGACACTGCCACTGGCTTTCAGTGCACATGGGATTCTGGGAGAGGACTTGTGAATGGAGCACGCTGGAAAGCACAAAGTCAGTTGGTCGTTTCCCCTCCCTGGTGGGTGGCATGCCAACAGTCACCTGTGGGCCTGCCAGCGGTGTCCAGGGCGGGCCTGTGAGCAGAGGCCTGGGGGCACAGACTGGGAAAGATGCCTGGGGCTGGACAGTGACTGGAGACCAGCTAATCTACCTATGTTTATGATACCCTTGGGTGCCTGGCACCACCTTGAACTGAGCTGAAAGAGGGTGTCAGGGTGATTTTTCCTTGGGTGTCTTAGAGGAGATGGGCTCCTCTAAGGAGATCGGGCAAAAAATTGCCATTATTTCCAAAGACTTTGGTGGTAATAGCACTGTAAATAGGTTTGTTATTTTCAGTTTGTGAAGGCATGTAGTAGTTGTAATGACAAATATTTAAAGAGCTATTTTTGCCCTGGCTGGTGTAGCTCAGTGGATTGAGCACGGGCCTGTGAACCAAATAATCGCGGTTCGATTCCCAGTCAGGGCACATACCTGGGTTGCAGACCAGTTCCCTGCAGGCCAGTTCCCAGCAGGGGAAGAACGAAAGGCAACCATACATTGATGTTTCTCTCCCTCTCTCCTTCCAAAGATAAATAAATAAAATATTTAAAAAAAAGAGCTATTTTTGATGCATAGTCTGACTTTTTCCCCTTATTTTTATTACATTGTTAAATGAAATATTCTTGTCTTTTCCACTGAACTCTGTCTTTGGAGATTTGCCTGGTAGGTGGCGAGTCGTAGGAACCCCCGCCCCCACTTGTTGGGTTTGCTAAGACTTACCAGTTATATTTAAGATAAAATCTGTTTTATGTTTTTGCATCTAATTAATATCTAATGTACATTAAGAAGTGACATTAAATACTCTGCCAATGATTTCAAATTCAGTGTACTAGTTTCAGTTTTATTGTTTAATCAGAGCTGGGCAGTGGACAGGAATTGGGCAGGGTGTGGCTCTTGCTCTTAGAATGTTTTCCTACAACTAACTTTTGACCCATTTCTGTCAGCATAATCAGGAGTTTAAACAGAAATAACTGTACGAAGAGCTGTCTTTGATTTTGAAAACAGGATAAAATTTTAAAAATAGTTCATGCTCATGAATAAATACTAAATCTTGAGTCTAGATAATGGTGGGGAGAGCATTATGAAGCTGGGGGCTAGGGAACTGCCTCATCTAACATGCTGCTGGGAAACCTGACATTGGCGTGAAGGCAAAGACTCTGGTTCTGCTTTGGTTTTGTAAAGTTAGCCAAGTTAGTTGGCTCTGTGATATAACATTCATTTATAAATGACAGCTTTAAACTATTGCTCCTGCTGCCGGTGGAAATCGCATTTGTCCACAGGATCGCAACGAAAGCATTTCACAGACCCACTCGCGGGAGGTTGTGGTGAGGTAAGATTTATTTGGGTGCAAACAAATGATTTCTCTGTATCACATTTCCGTTTGGCAGGCCATAGAAATAGTCCAACTGTGTCTTCAGCAAGGTCAAAACAAAGACCAGTGTCCAGAAGCTTAGTCCTTTGAAGCCTGCAGGTGGCTCGTAAGTGGCCTCAGTTTCCATCCAGGTAGCTTAGCGCTGTTCCTGGCTGAGCTGCTGAACCCAGGCTCCCTCCTGGAGCCTGCACTTAAGAGTCCCCACAAGCTGCTAGACCTGCATGGTCAACTATGGAGAGAATGCATGAAAAAGAGGGTGAGAAAGAAGGAAGAGAGAGAGAGAAGAAAGGGGAGAGAAACATCAGTTTGTTGTTCCACTTATTTATGCATTTATTGGTTGTTTCTTGTAAGTGTCTTGACCAGGCATCCAACGCACAACTTTGGCGTATCAGGCTGATGCTCTAACCAACTGAGCTACCGACTGGGGAAACGACTAATATTCTTAATCCATTTAATTGTACATTTTAAAGCACCTGCTAGAGCTACAGTAATGAACAGGGAAGAAAATATCCTCTTGGGGCTTGCATTTTAACAGTGGGGATAATAAATCCAGAGCACCTTAAAACATTTCATTAAATTCAGTAATCATTTAGTAAGTACTTTTTCCATGCCGGGTTCTGTGTTTGGCACTGCAGATACAAAGAGAAAAACGATTCTATCTGCTCTATGCCAAGTGCACCCAGGTAACCAAAGTGTTAACAAATAAACTTACTTCTGTTTGGTAATTTCTCTTTCTACTAGTAAGCTTCAAGTTACATTGACTGACTGAATTTCCAATTAAAGGGATGAGCACAATTTCTATGCAACTGTCAAAAGAGGTGCCCATTTCTTTGCTGATACCGATGATTAGTTCCCTACTGCAAGGGCTGTGTTTCTGTGTTCCTTGTAACTTTGCTTGAAAATTGCCTTAGCACTTGCCATGTAAAGGTGCTCACCTGTATAGTAAGACAGACAGATAATGCTGTGCTGGAACCACACCATATTTATTCAAGCTCACTGGGACTGGTTGAAGCTACTCTAGATTTGTGCTAGGCCCCGGTGACTCCAAAGTCGTTTTCCCTGGGGGACACCTAAACCGCAGGGTGAACATTAACTAGAAAAAAAAGTGGGCGTGGCAGTGGGCGGGGAATAGGCAATAGCCAGGCCCTTTCTGGAACTTACTTTGTTTCAGGTCCCCTGAAGGGCACTCAGCCCTAGGATGACATGAAGGGGCCTCTTCTTGAGAGGAACGAATCTCTTAAGTCCAGTTGCCCTCCACCAGAGCAGCTGTCGCCAGGTTGTACCAGAACCTAACCAATCGGACAGGGAGTTACATTTTAGGCGGCTCCCGCATCCAATCCGAGGACACGTCTCAGACTCCACCGCCCGCGGCGTCCCGCCGGCTCGAAGCTTGTTCCGCAGTCGCCCGCGGGGGCAGCTGCGCACTTTCAGAAGCGTCCGCGGCCGCGCAGATTCCCGGAGGTCGGGGCTGTCAACCGAGGTAGGGGGGGCCCGTTATTGCGCAGGCGCCTCTGGACGAGCTGCGCCTCGCCCCCCGGATCCGCGAGCGCCGCGTTAAGGAGCGCGGGTTGAGCGCCCCGGAAAGTGGAGGCGGCGGCGGGTGAGTGTGAGCCAACCGTGCGCAGCGTTCTGGAGGGAAATGCCCACCCCGTGTCAGTCCACTAGGTGCTTTAAAAGTGCAGGTGGTGAGAAACAGCCCCTTCCTCCTCGCCCCCCTTCCTGCCCCTCACCACTGTGCCCCCAGCCCCCGCCACCACGCCCTGGGACTCTGGGCGACGTCCGAGCAAGGACCCGGCGGGCGCGGACGTAGCCGTGGGCACCGTGGGTAGCGGAACGACGGTTGGCAGGTGGGTTTGGGCCGGGGAAGGTTGTGGCCCGAAGGGTGAAGGGGGGGAGGTTGGCCGGAGGCCGGCGGACGGACCGCGGTGGGCGGAGGACCGCTGTGGGCGAAGGTGAAGGCGGGCAGGAGGCGGGCGGGGCAGGGGTTCGATTCTGAAGATCTGTTGTCAAAGGCGTCGACCTGCATCTGTCCGTTCGATTCGAGGTTACGAGAATTCTATAATCCTATTTAAAAACGAATTTCCTACAAAGCCGGACGATAAAAGTAAAACCTTAAGTGCGTTTTCATAGGCCTGAGAACTGTTCGTTGAGCACTTTGCAGACGGAGGCTTCCCTCCCGGGCACAGCAGCCCTGGGCCGTGACGGTGCCCGGTCGCCCAGCGAGGGTCGGGCGCGGAGACGCCGCTGACTCCAGAGGCTTTTGCTGAATCACTGGGTCCTTTGGTGGACCGGAGCTTGAAACCTTGCCAAGTACAATGCTATGTAGGAAGTCGGCTAATCATTTTAATAGTATGATTTTCTTTTCTTTCCTCCTTTTTCCAGAGGTTGTTCCAGGAACTTTAATATACATAAAATATCTTTTAGAGAAAGTCTTTTAGAGAGTAGTTAATGTTTTTCTCTTCGTATATTAAGATAACAAGAATCATTTAAAGGAAACCATCTATGTTATTTGTGTGCGTAGACTTTAAAGCCATATGAGTTTCATTACAAATAGTATTTGTGAAGTGCTGAGAATAAAGCGTTTGTATTGTGGAGCAGATGGCATACTGATGGTGACAAATATCTTTTACCACATCCTGTAACAGTTAGACTCTCCCAGCTTCTCATGGGCCAAGAGTGTCAGTGAGAGTTGCCTGACATGCATTCCATCCAGGTAAGAGAGTTATCCCAGGCCAGGCAGAGTGTGTTTCGTCTCCTCAATTGAAGAAGACTACCTACCACTGCCGGGTACTGTTGGGGATATTTGGATGTAGTCTGGCTGAGTCTGCTTTCTTTTCTCTTCAGTTTTGTTTGTTTTGGTTTTTGGGGGTTTTTTGCTTTGAAAAGTTACAGAATGTCTCCAATGTTTTCTAATATAACAATTAGTTATTTTTATATCTAGAAAACTATTTGAGAACTCACTGGTGTTTTGTTTATATTTTAACACCCCCTGTGAGAGTGAAATAGTAGGCGGTAGATACAGATACAGGCACTGCTAATGAAAGATGTCCTGGCAGGAAAAGTTCTGCTAATGGTTTGGAGATTATTACTAGACTTGTAAGCTTGTTGAGGACATGAAATTCGTAAGGTCTAAATAAAGCTGCTCATTGTCTTCTGAGCTTGGGAAACCACTCACCTTCAGCTTCCTCATATGTAAACCAGTATTAGACTACATTATTTCTAGTTATTTTATAGTTTCACACTGATATCGCCTGCCTGTCATGGTGTAGACTTTTTTGCAACATAACAGCTTGTAACTAGAATAGATAAAAGGAAACAAAATTTGATGCATCCCCATTTTACTTTATGCATCCCCATTTTACACGCAAGAAAACTGAAGCTGGTAAAAGTTAGATTTGCCTAAGACTGCCCATCTGCTAAGCATCGACTCAAATTCTGGGATCCTTATGGTTTCAGAGCCTTTAATCTTTCCACATTGTCTGTGCTTCTAGTCCTGGGGGCAAGCACTGGGGTACCCGGATCCCAGCGGTGTACTAAGGGATTGCTAGCCTCAGGATAAACAGCTCGTGCACATCGAGCCTCTTTTTCACTCAAGATTTGGGGAAGAAAGATTATGATTCACATGTATTTTATGAGAGAGAGGGGCAGATGCTGGTTTTTGTTTATTGTTTTGCATATGGGAAGTGGTGTAAAATATTTTCATATTAAAACACCCAAGTCCATATTATGAATTACAAATTTCACATCATTTTGAGGTAATATGAGACTTCAAAGATGTTTCCTATTTCGTGGCAGGGCATTTTCAGATGCTTTTAAGATTACAATTTCATTTGCTTCTACTCTTTATATATGTAATTGTTTTCTTGAGATATAATTCACATACTATCCAATTCACTCATTTAAAGTGTAAAATATTACAGAATTGTTGCAACATTGCCACAACCAATTTGAGAACATTTTTACCACTCCAAAAGAAACGTACCCATTGGCATTTATCTCTCATTTCTCCCCAACCCTTTGCTTGAGGCAGCTACTAATGTACTTTACATATCTATAGCTTTGTCTATTCTAGGCATGTTATCTAAATGGAATTACAATGAGTGATCTTTTGTGACTGCCTTCTATCACTTAGCAAGGTTTTAAGGTTTAGCCAAGTTGTAGCATATATTAGTACTTCATTCCTTCTTATTTCCAAGTAATATTCCATTGTGTGATATGCCACATTTTCTTTATCCATTTATCCCTCAGTGGGCATTTGAATTGTTACTGCTTCTTGGCTCTTAGCAATAGTGCTGCTGTGAGTATTTGTGTACAAGTTTTAGTGTGGACATAATGTTTTAATTTCTCTGGACACGTGCCTAGTAGTCAAACCACTAGGTCATGTGGTGGAGGGTGCTGCTCCAGAGTTTCTGCAGGGCCTCCAGGGATGACATGCCTTCCAGTCTTGCCATTCCCTAGCCCAGGACATCACTGGTCCACCATGGTGGGATTTCTTGCCAGGTTGGGGCCTCGTGTTTTCTCAGTATGACACTCTAGGAAGCCATGGGTGGTAACTGGAATCGGAGCTGAGAGGAATGGGACCTGTTTACTCTCCCTGCTCTGGGGAGATCCTGGTGTGAGAAGCACCCTGCCACGTTCCACAACTGCCTGTCACTCCCCAGTGTAAAGTGCGCTTGGACTGCAGGCTGCAGGGCTGGGGTGGGGATGCTCAAAGATTAAGATGGAGAGACCTGGGAGTGAGGCCAGCAAGGTAGGGGCATCTAAGTGGTTGTACCATTTTACATTTTTACTAGGAATATATAAAAGTTCCAGTTTCTTTTTATTCTTCCCAACATTTGTTATTATCTTTTTATTATTGTTGTTGTTATTATACTTGTCCCAATTTTTCCCCTTTGCCTCTTCCGCCCATCCCACCCACTCCTCCCATAGTCAATCTCCACAGCATTGTTCATGTCCATGGGTCATTCACACATGTTCTTTGACTTGTCCCTTCCCCTTCTTTCCACCATTATCCCTCATTCCCCTCCCCTCTGACAGTTGTCAGTCTGTTCCATGTTTCCATGTCTCCATGTCTTTGGTTCTGTTTTGCTCATTAGTTAATTTTGTTCATTAAATTCCTCTCATATGTGAGATCATATGGTATTTGTCTTCCACCACCTGGCTTATTTCACTCAGCATAATAGTCTCCAGTTCCAGCCATGCTGTCACAAAGGGTTACACGAAGTCTTAGATACAGCACCAAAGACACGAATCACAAAAAAATTAACTTCATTGAAATGAAATACTCTTGTATTTAATTCAGAGGCTACCATGAAGAAAAAATACAATTTACAGAATGGAAGAAAATATTTGCAAATCATGTATCTGATAAGGAATTTGTGTCTGGAATATATAAAAAACTGGAACAATTCAATAATAAAAAGTCAAATAAGCCAATTAAAATATGAGGAAGGAATTCTAAAACACACTTCTCCAAAGATATACAGATGGCAAATAAGCAAATGAAAAGATGTTCAATATCATTAGTCATCAGGGAAATGCAAATTAAAACCACAATGAGATAGCACTTCACACCCACCTATGATGGACACATATAGCTGTTGTAGGTCATCTGAAGGTCACTTATATAAATGATTATTGTCTTTACATGTTTTTGTAATTCAGACAGATTGTGGCAGCGAGGTATGATAAATTGAAATTAAGGTCGGCAGTTATTTCTTTAACTATTTTATAGTAATTTGCATGTGGGTTGGGCCTGGGTAATGGAGTGTCCCAAGGCTAACATCTTGGGACACTTTGAACATTTTTTTTAAATTAGGGGAGCATCATGAACAGAACTGTGCCGAGAAAGATTACTGTAAGTTGGGAGCAGATGCTGGGTGAGAAAGGGGGAGGTGATTGAGGTAGGAAGGTCAGTTAAGAGGCAGAAGCATCCCAGACAGGAAATGGTGAGGGCTTTAAGAAGTAGGGCAGCAGCAGGGGTGGAAAAGAATGGATGGCTGTTAAAAACGCAGGTTCCACTGGCTTTGACTCTAGACTGACTGAATCACAGTTTTCTAGTTGTGGAGACTAGACAGCTGTACTTTTAGCAAGGTCCGCTCAATGATGTGTGCGTGTACTCTACCGTTGTACAGTGATTTTCAACTGGTGTGCCACAAAAATGTTTAAAACGGGCCATATCTGACCTTTTAGTCAGGGGCACTGACCTCTTTTCCCTTAATTGTCTAATAAAAAACAATAACAGCCAACACAACAATAGCCATCCTATGTGAATGAATAAAAATCATACCTATTTTCTGGGAGATTGGGAAAAATATAATATTTTTTTGGTGTGCTGCAGAATTTTAATAATTAGCATATATACCATGAAATGAAAAAGGTTGAAAATCACTGCTGTAATAGATGATATGAAAATAGAGTTGACTAGGCTGACAACTGATGCTATACCCACGACATCTCTGTCTGACTCAGAAAATGGTGAGCTGTTTTAAGATACTAGGGAACTCAGGAAAGGGAGAAGGCTTGGAGATGCAGAGAATGTATTCAGTTTGACATAAATCAGATTTGACCTGGAAGCAGAGTAGTTTGTGCAGTGGGATTGGTTGGGAAAGTAGAAGGGTAACTTAGGGCAAGAGTTGGGGTATTAAATAAAGAACTTTTAAAAATAGATTTACGAACATCTCTAAGATACTGTGCCATTTCTTTGCTGGTTTAGTCTACTCTGGTAGTGGAAACAGATGCAAGTGTTTTGGTGTGGAGAAGTAGCTATACTTTGGGAGAAACCAGGGAATCTGTTCAATCCAAGCTTTCATGGAGACCTGTGCACCCTCCAAACAAGTTCTAAAATCTCTGGAGCATAGGACAGCAGCCAGCCTGACATTGCTGTCTGATTCCAGTTGTAACTGTCCAAGAAAAGAGATGAGTTGTATATACACACAACGTCAGGGGACACTAAATCCTGAATAAAAAGGAAATACTGCTATCTACATTCTTTTTTTTTTTAATATTTTTATTCCTTTATTGTTAGGCAGAGGGGAATGGAAGGAGAAAGAAAGGGAGAGAAACACCAATGTGTGGGTGCCTCTCCCACACCCTCACTGGGGACCTGGCTTGCAACCCAGGCACGTGCCCTGACTGGGAATCAAACTGGCAACCCTTTGGTTCACAGGCCAGCACTCAGTCCATTGAGCCACACCAGTCAGGGCTGCTATCTAGATTCTTAACAGCTGAAATTGCCGAGATGTGTGACGTTGCTGAAAAGTCTGGGCAAAAAACGTCTCTTATATTTAGAATTGTTACTGGGGTTTTTTAGAGAGGTGGTTTTTGTTATTCTGTACTGGTTTTGGTTTCTTGGGTGGCAACAGCAGCAGGCGATCCATGCACCACACTCAGAAGACAGCCCATCTCAGGCTGACACGCTAGAGATTTTCCAGGCCTGGCTGGTGTGGCTCAGTGGATCGAGTGCTGGTCTGTAAACCCAAGAGTTACTGGTTTGATTCCCAGTCAGGGCACATGCCTGGGTTGCAGGCAAGGTTCCCAGGAGGGGGTGTGTGAGAGGCAACTTCATATTCTTGTTTCTCTCCCTCTCTTTCTCCTTCCCTTCCCATCTCTCTAAAATAAATAAATAAATAAAATCCTTAAAAAAAAAACTGGAGATTTTCTAGACCCAAAGATCTTCACAAACACTATTCTGTGTGCCTTTGATCTTCAAAATCTTAATTTCCTGGTTTTTAGAGGGTCACAGCTTTAATCAGTAAGTATTTGAATGACTACATACACAGATCATATGGGTAGCATGGTTGAAAAAAAAGGTCTCTGCCTTCAAGTAATTGCAGACTAGTTGGGAGAAAAAAAACAACTCTCAATAAATGACTTGTGAGCTTAATATTGCTATTAGCTCAGGGCTATTTATGCCTGTGACCTCCAGGGGCATATCCCCATGGCCATACCTCAAGTCTTCTTACACTGACACGGTGAATTCACTCCCCTCACTCTGACCACAGCCCACATCCTAGCAATGTTCACCGAAAGGTACTTTTAAAACACTGGTTCTTTGACTTCATCAGAACCTGTAGTCTAAAAACCTCTCTACTTGCAACTATATTAATTTCAGTTTAAATGCTGCTGCCCAAATCCCATTCTTTACATTAATATCAACTTCAGCTTCCTTCATCATACTTCAGTTTCTGGCAGAATCGGAAGCCCCAGGTCTGTCCAGCCACCTGTTTTTGTTCATGCCTGAGCCAGGGAATTGCTAGAGAAAACCAGTCAACAGTGTCACTATAAAAATTCATGGCGCCTGTTCTCAACATTGACCACAAATCCTACTATTTCCTTGTACTCTCTCCCACTGTCCACATTGGCCATTTCTTTGTATTCCTCAAACCTCCAACCCTTGTACCACCCTACTCCCTCTCAGTGAATGACCCTACCTCTTGTAACTCAGAGAGACTGCAACTCCCTTCACCTCCAGCTCTCAAACCTGTTAGCTCACCACTCTTTGCTGCTCCTGCGGTTATGATGGAAGAGGTATCCTGCCAACCTACAGTGAAGCATCCTACCTAAATCACATACCCTTTTTATCTTAGCACCCAAAGAAGAGAGTCTGAAGGCAGCAAGATTTATTAGGGGAAAGCTGTTTGTAACTGATGGATTGTTAAAAAAGAATGAAAAATTAGGGAGAGCTCTGAGTCTGGGTTATTAAATAGAACAATGTCTAAGAGGGATGTGGTAATGCAATTCATTTCAACAGCTGTTGGATTTCTTCAGAAGTTACTGTGGCATCCAAGTCTCTGTAGGTTTTATCTGTCTGTCAACCTCATGTGACTATTAGGTAGGTACAGATTGAGGTGGCACCTTTCTCTCATATAATTTGTATATTTATTTTTTACTCCTTTTTAATGCCAATATTTTTCAACAAGAACTGGTGGTGAGCCAGTGTGGTAGAATTTCTACCACCTTTGTTAGCCGTTAAGCTAGAAAAATGATCTCCCTCCTTGGAACTTCTGAAAGCTCAACATTATTTCCATTTTATGAAAAAAGATAATTTTTGTTTATCTGTTTTCATTAAGCTTTTAGGATGATTTCTAAATGTCTAACTGCAGACAAGCAAGGTTGCCAAGCACAAGTATTATATGGAGTATAGGAATGGCTCATTTCCCCTTCAGAACACAAGGGCTGAGGCAGGGTGTGTGTAAGTAGGAAACTGGACAAGTACAGGCAATTTTTAGTTTTTCCAACTTCAGCTTTATTCAGTTGTCTTTCAGTAAATGATGATATTTAACTTTTAAGTGGATAGAGGTAAAGCTGGTATAGAAAAAGTTTGTAAATGTTGGTTCTCTTCCGTTGATGGTTAAAGTTTTGAAACCTAATCCAAATCAAATAGTGTTACTACTTATATGTTGTGTTTTCATGTTTTAGGAACCCTGACTGGAATCCTTCAACATGTTCAATATGAAGTTATTAGGAATATTTTTATTTTCTGGACTTATAACTGCATGTAGAGGTAACTCTTCCTATAGTTTGCCACCAAAGTTACTATTGGTGTCCTTCGATGGCTTCAGAGCTGACTATCTACAGAACTATGAATTTCCTCATCTTCAGAATTTTATCAAAGAAGGTGTCTTGGTAGAGCATGTTAAAAATGTTTTCATCACAAAAACATTTCCAAACCACTACAGTATTGTGACAGGCTTGTATGAAGAAAGCCATGGCATTGTAGCTAATTCCATGTATGATGTAACCACAAAGAAACATTTTTCTGACTTTAACGACAGGGACCCTTTTTGGTGGAATGAGGCAGTACCTATTTGGGTGACCAATGAGCTTCAGGAAAACAGATCAAGTGCTGCCGCTATGTGGCCCGGTACTGACGTACCCATTCACAATACGACACCTTCTTATTACATGAATTATAGCTCCTCAGTGTCATTCCTGGAGAGACTGAATAACATTACCATGTGGCTGAACAATTCAAATCCACCAGTTACTTTTGCAACACTCTATTGGGAAGAACCAGATGCAAGTGGACATAAATATGGACCTGACGATAGAGGAAACATGAGCAGAGTGTTGAAAGAAATAGATGACTTCATTGGTGAGTTAGTCCACAGACTCAAGGTGTTAGGATTGTGGGAAAACCTTAATGTGATCATTACAAGTGATCATGGGATGACCCAGTGTTCTAAGGACAGACTGATAAACTTGGATCTCTGCATCGATCGCTCAGACTACACTCTTATAGATTTGTCTCCAGTTGCTGCGATACTTCCCAAAAGAAGTAAGTAAACTTTTAACCAAGGGATATTCTAATGGGGCAATGGATTGAGAAGCAAGGTTTTGTAAAAGAATGAAGCTCTGGCTTTTGCAGCTCAGGACCATATATTCTTACACTTAATCAGAGTGGGATTTTATGTTTTTTCTGTACAAGTTTTTAAGCAATTAGCTAAAGGTTTAGGTTCAAAATGATTATTTCTTTGCTTTTTGATCTATCTTATAATTATTCATACAAACAAAGACATTTTTACCCTTAAAAACATCTTGAATTTTTGTGTGAGATACACCTTTTGTTTACTGATCTTCAAATTAGTGATCAGTAGTAATATGTAATTAGTTAATATTTAGTTAGGAAGCTAGTAGGTGTGAGAATTGTCCCCTTTGTATAAAAAGTCCATCAGGAATAATAACAAAATGAAAAAAAGCTATGTGAATATTTTGAAGAATGTGTGTGCGTGCCTGCTGACACTGTCACATGATTATCACTGCTGTATTGTATATAAGAATTAAAAGGGATTCAGTAGGTGATATTGTTCAGTATTTTTTCAGTTATTCTAGGTAGAAGTACCTTTTCCTTATTAATCAACCATGACTTTTTTCTTTACTATTTCCTTTTACTTCAGATAGAACAGAGGTTTATAACAAACTAAAAAACTGTAGCTCTCACATGAGTGTTTATCTCAAAGAAGACATTCCTACAAGGTTTCATTACCAACATAATGCTCGAATTCAGCCTGTTATTTTGGTTGCTGATGAAGGCTGGGCAATTGTGCTAAATAAATCATCATTAAAATGTAAGTATTAATGAAAGATACTTCTCTTGTGTCCTAGGAATAAATCATACATTAACATTGTTCATTTAACAAAGAACTTTGATTTGGAGATGTTGACACAGTATAATTAGTTTCAACTAGACAGTTGTGAGGTCTTCATTCAGTTTTCAGGTTTTTATTTCATAGCAATTCGGAGTAACCACAATTTCACCCTTACATTAGAAGGTCGGGTGACTTAAAGGGTGAAGGTATAGTTTTACTTTCTTACCAAAACTGCAGTTACTTTCAGTAACTTCCAAGATTGCTTCTTTTGAATTGTAAGGCAATGAAAGAGATGAAAATAAAGAAATAAAACTAAAGAACATAGAAACAGAGAGATACTAGTTCAAATTTCTCTTTATTTTTTTTTATGTTAAAAAATTTTGTCCAAGTAACCCTAAGTCATTCCCTAAGGATGAAACCATTTGCCCGAATGCAGCTGTTTAGAACATAGGGCAAGAACGAGGAAGTAAATAAAAAATCTACTGGGTAAACAAAACAGATGTATCAAAATCTTTCCTAAAACTGAGGAAATGTATAGGTGAGAGTTATAGGTCTTCCCTGAAACAAGCTTATTTAATGTTACATTCAATTTGAATACTTTTTAAAATCTGATTTTATAGTTGATGGCAGGGATCAGAAAACTTTCTGTAAAAAGCCAGATAATAAATACATATTTTCGACTTTGTGGGACATCTTGTCTCTGTCTCAACTACTCAGCTCTGCCTTTACCGTGGGAAAGCAGCCATAGACAGTATGCGTAAATAAATTGACATGAAGTGTTCCAGTGAAATTTTGTTTACAAAAGCAGGCGGAAGGCTGAATTGGCTGGGACCTATCATCTGCAGGTCCCCGATCTATAGCAATTCAGAAGCATCAGGCAAGAAGAAGACTCAGGTTCAGTGGAATTACATATTATTTATATTTATTCATGTTCCCATCATTGAAAACTTAGAAAATACAGAAAAGTTTAGAAAAGAGAACAAAAATTATCCATAATTCCTTAGTACAGAGGTATAGACAAATGTCAATTGTGGGAATTTTTCCCCTTCTAATCTTTTTTTTCTATTACATATACTTGAATTGAAGTAATAATATCTATATATGTATAGTATTATATTCTGCTTTTTATTATATTGGTCATATATAGTTTCCTTATGAAATATTTTAAATATACAATTAAAAATAATAAAACAACCACTGGACTTCACTCAGTCCCTGCACTTCATATGAAAGCGGGAGCTTATTAAATACAAGTGGTGTACATTAAAAGGCAATATTTGTTAAAGCTAAAATTTGAGAATTTGGTATTGGAGTTACATTAGGGACCATCACATTTGGGCTGGAGTCATCTGGGTAGACTTCACATTCAGTAGTACAAGAATCCTGTCTGTGACATTGGCAATTACCAGGCCCTCTGAGTGTTGAGTGTTCATTAACTGTCAGTAAACCAGTACTATAGTCTTATCACAGGAGCAATTGACATAGGTAAGTCTGCAGATTTACGGTACTTCTTCACGGGTTTTAACTCATTCCTGCTCTCCCTAGTCATTCAGGACTTTCACCTGGACCACTCTTTTTATCACTGGTGCTGTTTACAGTGGGCTTTGGTAAGCACTGCTGGAGATTATCAGGTGAAATAAGTAGGTCTAGGACTGAAAAATAAGTACATAAGATTGAGAAATAGTTTTAAAGCCCGAGACCATGATCAATTGGGGAAAGGGGTGTGTGTATTAAAAAGGGACATGGCTAAGTTGGAAAGAATAGGAAATTTTACTTCTGGCCCCTGACTGGTCCAATTAATCAGAATTCTAATGGGTGGGAATTACACCGGCAAGACTAGTATTATACAGTTTTAAAGCAGCTTATTTTGTAATAGAAAGATTGATCTTATTTATTAACATTATTTTGTTCTTTTTCAGTGGGTGACCATGGTTATGATAATTCGTTGCCTAGTATGCATCCATTTCTGGCTGCCCACGGTCCTGCATTTCACAAAGGCTACAAACACAGCACGGTTGACAGCGTAGATATTTATCCAATGATGTGCCACATCCTGGGATTAAAACCACATCCCAATAATGGAACCTTTGGCCACACTAAGTGTTTGTTAGTTGACCAGTGGTGCATTAAACTCCCAGAAGCCATTGGAATTGTTATTGGTGCACTCTTGATCTTAACCACTCTAACATGCCTCTTCATAATCACACAGAATAGACTGTCTGTACCGCGGCCATTTTCCCGACTTCAGCTACAAGAAGATGACGATGATCCTTTAATTGAGTAACATGTGCTGGGGCTTGTACAAAGTGTCTTTGTTTAGTCGTAAAACTGAGGATACACCCAAGGTATTATAACTATGAAAAAGTGTACTTGGAAAGACAAAGAATTTATACCAACCACGCTAAAATTATGTTGTTTTCTTTGTTACTTCTTTTGGTACATTAGCTACTACCAAAACAAACAAACAAAAACCAAACAAACAAAAAAACACCCAACCCAAAACCTGACCATAGCAATAATTATTAGTAAATCATTAATTAACACTGTTTCTCCAATTAGGAACATTTTTAAAGAAAAATACTGCATTTTTTTCATTGAAAACTTGACAGATTTTTAGATGAAAATACACTAAAATTTAGTAGCCATGCTTTTCTAATAAATTTTTGTATCTATAAATCAAAAATGGGGTCTTGTAATTAGTGGAATTTGTGTATCAGGGAGGAAAAGTTTCCTTTATTTTTATATTTACCTTTAATAGAGTTTATATCCCAAGTAAACCCTTGAGTTAGGAAATTCTCTGTGATGGTTAACGAAATCAGTTAACCAGGCAGAAAAGATTAAGCACGTGAAAATATTATTTTAAGAGTAGCTATTATAAAAAACTAACAAAGACAATGTGATATAAGGCCTCTGTCTTCACCTTTGTGTCTTTGTTAAGACCCTTAAGCTGTTGAAATCTCAAAAGTTTTATTTTTGAAGATTATTGCTAATAAGGAATTAAGAAAAATAGAGAAAAATGCATTTCTCTGTGCTTAATGCCTTTGTATAAGTTATTTGTATGTGCGCACAAGCGTGTTAGCTGTATGGGAGTGCAGACTTGATGTGACTTACATAGAAGGCGCCCAGAGGTGGACTTGACCATAGGTAGGCCTCCACGTTCCCACAGAACAAACACAGCTGTCAGGAGAGGTTATGTTTGCGGTCCATACTTGTTTACCTTCTTCCAACTCACAAGTTAAGACCACAGTTTTTAAAATTCACTCATGCTCGTTACCATCTTTAACGTTCTCATGTTGATTATTATAATCAGAGATATCTTAGTGCTATAGAAAAATTTATGACCTCATTACAGATCTCGTTTTGATTGGTCAGAATAAGGAAGAGAGATTTTTCTGTTAACCTTTGGGACTTTTATGCCTTACTCTCTAGACAGTAGAGTAGTTATATTTAAAATGGAATTTAGTATCTTTTGCTCTTTTACATTATTCTTATATTAAGTGGTAGAATAAACTCTCAACACTGCCTAACATTTCCTAGTTTGAGTGCAAGTTGGTACCTTTTAATAATCAGAATTAATATGAAGAAACAGTTGTGGCATACTAGATTGTATCTATCAGAGGAAAAATTGGGTTAAAGAACAATTCATTAGGATCTGAGGCAAGGTATTGATATTAATAGTGTAATCTTTAAAGTTTTGACAATATAAAACAAACTAGGCAATTGTCTGGCAGATACAAAAATAATCTACAGTATATATTCAGCCCCATTAAATATTGATTATCTGTGATGATTAAGAACAATGGTGCTAATCATCAAGTATATAATTTACCCTATTTGGTCTCGGCTAATTTCCTGATCCTGGTATTTAGTGCCTATAGTATCTGGGATTCTGGAGAAGCATTTCCACATCCTGCATAAATAGTTCATGCTGTTATTGGTCATAAATTAACTGTATTAACAGCAGCATAGTAAATAAATGAAATAAAACCAGTAGGGCTAATTTTGCTTTTTTTATGAATTTTGTTTCTGATGTTTTTTCCCCCTCACATAAAAGTTATCTATCCTAAAGGTTAATAGTTGATCTGAATGAAATAATAGAAATTTTCTTTTCTACTTCAATTACCATTAAAAAACAACAACAAAGAATAGAACAGTCACTTTTAAAGCCATGGACATTTTAAAAAATAGTAGCAGGTTATTTTATACTCTTTGAGTAGAGTTTGGTCCTTGGAATCATGTGAGTTTTAGTGTTTATATTAGCTTGATTGGTGGTTCTGACTTTCAGAGATCTGTATGTGGCATCTTGGGTAGATTTTATCTAGGACAGAATAGGAAGGGATGCCCCGTATGTGTCTTAACCTTTGAACAAAAGACGCTTACCTATGTGTCTTGCCTTTCATTCTTATATTAACTTTAAAATTGTAAGTCTATGTGTGTGTGTGTGTGTGTATATATATATATATATACACATGTATATACACATGTATATATATATATATACACATGAGACAAGGATGGAATTTATTTATCAAAGAGATGTTTATATATTGTTACACTGAAGTTTGTGTTAACTCGTTTGTATAAAGCATTATCACTGTTAAAGCCAGTGACCCTTTAATGCACTGAAAATCTTTTAGTAAAACTGGCCTTTTACATTAAGATGTTGGTATATTTTGTTAGATAATTGACAAATATGCTGCTACGTTTTCTGGGTGGTAGAAAGTATTTGGCTGTTTATGGCATTTAACTGCTTATCACAATACACAAAGGTAATAAGAATATTTTTTATTAAGTGTTTTTTACTAATTCAGTGAGTGAATTCAGAATAAGTACATTTACTTATAAAACAAGGACAGTTCTGTTGCTTTCATTAATGTGCAAGTTGTTCCAGTAATTATTTCAATGCTTAAAATAGGCTTTGTGTTGTTCCATTAAGTTTGTTCTAAGAATTTATAGATACATTTTTGTATTAAAATGCCTTCAAATTGTCCCTGGGTTTCTCCTTCTTTAACACGTATCTGGTAAGCTTTAAGGGTAATTGCATTTAATTTCACTTATTTGGAGGGTTTTACTTCATTGTGAATATATAAAGCTACAAATGAAGGACAAAGACGAGGTAGAAATAGTCTATTTATTGTCAATTCTTAAACTAGTGTGTAAATAAAATGACATGAGTGTGCTTTAAAAAATTGTATGTAGTGCCTTAAAGTTAAAATAAAACATTTTGATTATATTGTTTGAATTCATAGTTTATGACTTTATGATTTTAAAATTTATCTGAATAAAATCTGTCAAAACATTTTACTGTAATGCTAAATATGGGATGCAACATCATTGGTAATGTTTTTAATTTGTCAGCTTGCATTATATACATACTGTGACAGATTTTGACGTGACTTGGTAATACTACAGAAGTCCACATAAGCAGTCACTACGGATTTTTTTAACCAGGATTAAATGTATAACTTTTAAAACAATGTATAAATATATGATCCAAAATAAATACATTATTGGAAAGAAAGCCAATATAAATTTTGCAGAGCTTCAGAACTATAATTTACTGGATTACAGTAGAAAGGAAGAAGTTTGAAAAAGCTGATGAGAAAACACTAGGGTTAAGTAGGGGTATAGTATTTAAATTTCGTTTTGTACAGAGCTGTAAGTATTCAATGTCTAAATGCATGTCAGTTCAACAGAGTTTCCTCTGATAGAGCAGTGACTGATTCATTTCCTACTCTTCCACTCAGTAAACACTGCTAGGAACTTTGGGAAGAACAATAAAAGGCACTTCCTTTACTCTGGAAGAGTTTGGTAGCATTTCAAAAGTGGTAAAACTAACAAATTACTTCACTTTCATAGCCAGAGGTAGTGGAAAGGATCAATCAAAATTAACCCCAAAATAATTCTAGACAACTCCACAATAAAAATACACATTTTTATAAAAGGGTTCCAGGTAGGTCAGACCCAGACACCGTAGTATTGGTTTATACATTGTCTGAATTGGCCACTGAGGAGAGAATATTTTTTAAGATTCTATAACATTGACGTGAGAGAGAAACATTGATCAGTCACCTCTCACACACCCCCAGCTGGGGACCGACCCCACAACCCAGGCATGTGCCCTGACTGGGATCGGACCAGGGATCTTTTTGTCTGTGGGATGATGCCCAACCAAGAGGCACACCAGTCAGGGCAGAGAGTGGTAGATTTTTTACACAGCATTTCTGTGAAGGCTTATGTGTGTGTGTGTGTGTGTGTGTGTGTGTGTGTGTGTGTGTGTGTGTGTGTGTGTGTGTGAAGACATGCAGCATGCAGGGGTTGTGTTTCCAGTAAAATGATGGAGTATGTTGTTCAAACCAACCCTCTTGCTGAGGTCTAGAAATCTAGAAAAAATATAACAGACCTGTGCTATGGTGATGAGGAATTACCATGACAGTAAAGAATCAAGAGGCCAGGATTCTGAAGGGGGAAAAATCTGTACAAGTGAGTTCCTGGTGGAATCTGAATTCTGGAAGAGGCAGCTGAGAGCCTGAAAAGCTAGTCAAAAGAGTTTTGAGGGGGAATGTAAGAAGAGAAATCAATGTAAAAAAAATGAAGAGAAGCAGAACACATACAAATCCTAAGAGCTTACTGTACACGATTTGGCACAAATAACTTGAAAATACAGATTAAATAGATAATTTCCTAGGAAAAACATGTAACAAAATTGATTTCAGGAGAGAGTGAAATCTAAAACCAATTTCTGTATTACACACTGGGAAAATTACAAACTACTGAACAAAAAAGTATCAGGGCCAGAAGACAATAGTAACCTTTTTCAGTGCCTCTTTATCAGTTTTGATTATTGTTAAATTTACTTCATAAAACTAGCGTTTTACTAAAAGAAAAACATGAGTTTTGAGGTGAATATAACATTAATCTTTAACCTGATAAAAATAGCACCAAAGAAATAAAACTACAGACCAATCTCAAATGAGGGGAAAAACAGAAAATCAAATCCACAACATCAACAGCTAAATGGAAGTAGACTGGGCATTCCAATGAAATGGCAGAGACTGATAGGATGACAAAGCAAGATCCAACTATATGTAGCCTAGAAGAGAGAAACTTTAAACACAAAATTGCAAATTGAAAGCAAAAGAATAGAAAGATACCATGCAAACTGTCAGAAAGCTTGAGTACCTACATGGTCCAGCACAAGTAACACCTCTTGTTTATTACAAAATCATAAGCATGAAATTCTGTAACATAACAATATTACACCCAAGCATACCATACGACATTTTAGGCGAAATGTTCAAATTTAAACTATAAATTATTAGAGCCACATTATTACCCTACCAACCACATTCAAGCAGGCATTACTTCTGCCAGACCCTGTATATGAATATTATACAAAGTAGCCTTCAAGAATTCCTAGAGATAGAGAGGGACATTTCACAATGACAAAAAGGCTAATGCAATTAAAAACGTTCACACCTAAAACAAAGCTAAAAGTTCGTGAAGCAAAAAAGTGGTGGAACAAAAGAAAGATAACCCATAAATGTAATGGAAGAATTTAGTTCCTCTCATAAGTAACTGATATAACTAGACCAAGAACGAAATCAGTAAGGTTATAGAAGACATGAGTGATGGCATCAACCACATAGATTTGAATGACATTTAGAGAAGATGCAACCCCAAACTGCAGAAGACACATTCATTTCAAGTGCACGTGAAATTATCACCAAAAGAGATTATATGTATAACTGTAAAGCAAGTTTCAGTAATCTCAAAAAATTGCAATTCTACAAAGTACATTTTCTGACCACAATAGAATTAAATTAGATTCCACAAAAAGAACATTAAGAAAAACCTTAACTACTTGGAAGTTAAACAATATACTTCTAAAAAGAAGTCATAGCGTAAATGAGTGAATGCACTGAACTGAAAGAAAATGAGTTCATGACATGCCAAATTCTGCAGTCCACAGCCAAGCAGCACTTAAAGGGGAGTTTAAGGGCCTTGCATGCCTTTCTTTGAGAGGCAGAAAGGTTCAAAATCAATGATTAAACTTTCTCTTTAGGGAGCTTGTAAAAAGATGGAGAAAATCCCAAGTAAGTAGAAGGTAGAAAATAGTAAACATAAGGAGCATCTTTAGAATCACACAACCTGTTCATAATAGCTCAGCAGTTGTAGGACTGTGGAAACTACCCAACCACTCCCAGAGACACTATGCACTTCCCCGTATATACTGTAAATCTGATCACTACTACCCTACCTTTTTCTGAAATTCTAGTAAACCAAACTCTACAGAGCCTGATGGATGTACTCCACCAGTTACTTTGTCTGCTTCTTCAATAAAATTCTACATAGATGAAGTAAAAAAAAAAAGAATTAATGAAGTAGAAGAGAAGACTAGAGAAAATCAATAAAGCCAAAATTTGGTTTTTTTTAATATTAGTCAAAGTTGACAAGCCCTTAACAAAATTGATGAATAAAAAAGGAGCTGGTACAAACTAGCAATATCAGTAATAAAAGAGGGGCCGTCACTATAGACCTCATAGCAAAATGTTGTTAAAGGACTATTATGCCAATAAATTTAACAGTGAATAAAATGCCAAACCCCTGAAAATACAACTTATCAAAATTGATACAAAATCAAATGGATAATTTTAATAGTCATGTCTATCACAAAAATTAATTTGTTATCAAAAACATCCCCACAAAGAAAACACCGAGTCTAGGTGATTTTACTGATTAGTTCTACTAGTAAATGATTTTCCTGAAAGAAATGATTTTCACAAACTTCTACAGGAAACAGAGGAAAAAGAAACATACCCTAACTGAATTTACGAGGCCAGTATACTGCTGCAACCAGAACCTTACAGAGAAATTAAAAGAAAGTCATAAACCAACCCCTATGAATAAAAACTCTGTAACAAAATATACTATCTAATTGAATTCAGTATTTAAAAAGGATAATGCACATGAACAGATGGAATTTATCCCAGGAGCACATCATCAGTTTGATTGAAAATCAATGTTACCCATATTAATAGGGGAAAAACAAAAGGAAAAACACAATAATAAATATAGAAAAATCATTTGGCAAAATTTACTACCTATTTATTATTCCAATCAAAACAACTCACCAACTTTGGAATAGAAGGGAACTTAAAGCTGATAATTAACACACATAAAGATATATATAAAACATAGATGATCACATACATAATGCCACATCTACATGCCACAAATCTACAGCTAATGTCATTCTGAATTCTCATACTTAAATATCATAAAGCTACCTCTAAAGTAGTGAATGATGAAATATTAATTTTTTTCTCCTAAAATAGGACTTACTTTATATGATACCAAGAACAGCCATAAAGTTCTAATAATTAAAACAGTATGGTGTCGACACAAGGATAGACAAATAGATGAACAGAATTGATGACCTTTATTAAACTGAAGAATCCAAACATATGTGGGTGTATTAGACATCTCTTGTATAACACCTCAGATTCGCTGAACCCACCCTTTACCCCAGTCTCATCCTGGTTTAGACCAACTTCCCACAGATGCAGCCTAATAATGCTTAGCCTCCTTCTTCCTGGCCCAGACGCTATGGCACTGGGTGCCAGTGAGATCACATTTGGCACTTACGCATGAACTACCCAGGAGTAATTGGAGTTCATAATATTCATGTACCGCTCAACCAGGGGGTTGGAGGCTGGTGGGAAAACGCTTTGCTTCCCTCTTCCATTCCCCAGGCAGTCAGTTCTGAGATACAGTTGGTTCCTCCGAAGGACCTGGCACTCATAACAGTGGCCAGTTCTCTAATTTAGGTTTTATAGGCTTCCTCTACTTTCCTTCATTCCCTGTCCCTCATGCTCATTTCTTGGGATCACTTCACAGATAAATTGCCTGCATAACAGGCCTTGGTCTCAGACATGGCTTTTGGGAAACCCCAGGTTAATAGTGGGTTCATATACTATATCCAACAGAAAATGTATATGTATATGCCCCAAAATACACATAAAAGACTGCTCATAGCGGCATTACTCATCAACAGATTGGAAATAATCCCAAACAATACATAAACTGTGGTATATTTGTAATTGCATGAAGCAATGAAAATAAAGCACTGGATGAATCTCACATAATCTTGAGAGAACGAAGCCAAATATAAATGAATATATACTGTATAATTCCATTTAGATGAAACTTTAGAATAGGGGAAAGTATCCTACTGTGTTC